TAGGAGGGATGAGGTCATCATTGAGACCTGCCAGTCCCTACYGCTGAAGTCCCAACCTGRCGGCACTTTTTCCTCCACTCCGTCCTCCTCCTTTGTCTCATTCTCCCCCCTTTTTCTCCTTTCTTTTCTCATTTACTGTTGGGACAAGTGTCGAACARCTATTTCTCCTTTTTCTAGTTGTTGGACCTTTCCCAAGGCCTGATTTGCAGCCGGCATATGGCCGTTGCACCTCGGACTGCAGTAGCGGCACCCCCAAGGCCGAAGGGGGCTCCTTTTTGCTACCGATGTTTCCAGTTTTGAAACCCCCTTGCTCCGATTTTCTCCCGCCAGCTTTTTTTTTTTTTTTTTCACGCGGAGTCCTTGGAACTTTGTTTTTCTTGCCTGGCTGATCCAGGATACTCGGACTGCTGGCCGGCCCCTCTTACTGCCGCTATTCCCTCTTTTCTTCCCCTCGGCACCTCCCGCCGGCGCTTGTCGCGGCGGTACTTAGTGTTTTCATCCGGACTCCCTAGCCCGGATGGTCCCGTCCACCTGTTGTCAGGTTATTTTATTTTTGTTGTCGTTGCGTCTGATCCCGGATCCCCCCTGGGTCGCTCCAGGTGTCCTCCGTCTTTCCCGTCTCACGCCCGTCTCTCCTCGTTCGGTCGTCAATTTTCGTCAGCACTCGGCTTCTCCTCTTTTTCTTATTATCCCTAGTCTCTCTCCTTTTTTCGGCGTCGTCCCGAGTGACGTCCCGTCCTCGTGTACTCCCCTTGGGTCGGTCGCCCTTTGTTCCGTCGACGGCTCCGGTCTTCTGCCCTCGTTAACGGCTTCCGACACTTTATCCCGTCGATACTCGTCCTGCTAGTGGTTCCGCGGGTGCCGCCATTTTATCTAGGCCCACGCGGTCCCTGGTACTCGGCCCGCCTACATTATGTTTTTTCCCTTGGTCTCACGCGGTTCCCGGTACTTCGCCCTGCCGGCACCACGCCGTCCCCTGGTCCCGCGTGTCCTTGGCTCTTTGTCCTGTTGGTACCGCCCCGTCTTCCGATCCCATGTGGTCCCCAACACTCCTACCCCTCCTGTACCACGTCTTCCCTTGGTGCTCCTGACGTCCTTCCGCCTTGCGGCGGTCTCCGCCCCCCCCTTTCCCTTTGTGTCCCACACGCCGTTCCGCTCCGGGCGCCGGTTCCCCCTAACCTGCGATCTCCTCGGCCGAACCTGCCGCCGCGTCGTGTCTGTGCCTTGCGCCCTGTCCCTTCCCACTTTCTTCCTTCCCTTGCTGCGCACTTCTCATGCTGCTACCAACTTCCGAGGGGCCATCCTTCGTCCCTTGGGGAAGGAGTCACCCTTGCTATTCTCTCACATTTCTTTGCCGCTTCCTGCTTAGACAATTCCTCTTTAGCTTTGGTGGTCTTGACGACTCCGGACAGTCTCTAACCTCCTACTGTCCGTACTCACACTTTCGGTTTTTCCAGCATTTCTGCCTCCGATTTTCTCTGTCGTGCACAAATTGGTCAAATACAGTCTCTCGAGTGACGGAAAATCATTCGGGACTCACCAGTCCCGACATATTCCCCCCAATCATTCACGATGTCCTCATCTCGCACCGATCCATGGTCAGTAGGAATTTTTGGAGTGATAGACAGACAGGGAAGAGGAGTGGGGTGGGATGAGTAGTTAGCTTGCTAGGGTTCTTTTTGTCTTTCTCACTCTTTCCTCGGGTCCTTCTTTAAGTTTCCTCCTGTTGGGGCGGGGGAGGGTATGGAGGGATTAGGGTTTTTGTTTCGGGTTTCCTTTGGATTGCGTAACGTCCCCAAGCTCAATAATGTCTTTGTAATGAGCGCGTAACACTCTTTGTGCATCAACGTCCGTCTCACAACTGTATCTCTTTCTCACTGGAACTCCCACATACCTAAGGGCTTCCTCACAACTTCCCGTATCGTTCCATAAGAGAGAGGACGCCGCGCCCATCATCCTCCCCAGGGACTGAGGTAAAGGGAGATTTTGGCGACGGATGTCACAAGGATCATTTGTCATGGCTTCCTCCAGGTGCGAGCTAGCAACACGTCAAGGAGCTTAAGCAGTTTGGTGTCTCTTTCCCTCATCAAGTTGACTAGCATCGCCCCTTGGAGGGGTCTGACCACAGACATGCCCTGCAACTGGTTTTTCATTGTAGGTTATTTCTCGCTCTTGACAATGTCTTGGGGGCTGCATTTGTAATCTCAAATCTATCTTCCCATTTCATTGAGAAAACATTCTCGAGCAGAAATCCTTTTGGTTTTGTCTCATTGATTACTCTTAGGACATCCACTCATTTTCAGTACAATTTTTCCTCTCCCCGAACCTCAGACATAGCCAAATCCACATGCATTCTTCCCGGGTTATTCCTTCCGGCCTTTCTCAGGTCCTGCTAATTTCGCATGCATATCATCCTCTGCCTTTTCTTGCCCCTTACTTAATTGACTCTCCATGTGCAATGCTTGGCTCACCCCTCAGCCACTTCTTATCTTTTCAAGCTTATACGAGCCAATTACACAACCAACTCTCAGTCTGCCAATTCCTTTCCTAGGTCTATGCGTAATCAATCACACCAGCCCTTTCTTTCCTGGCTATCTTGCGAAGCCATTTTTCTCAAGTTTATACCATGTTACTGACTCAAGTCCTTTCTGCTCTAGCGTGTTGCCAGACCCCATTTTCTCAGGCCCATACAAGCCAATTACAATCTTTTTCTGTTCCGACCATCTTGACAGGCCTCTTTTTCCCAAGCCCATGCAAAACCAATTACAAGTCTTATTTTCATGCGTATTCGTTGGTAGATGGCGCACCTTCCCCCCACTCAAAACGCGATGTCCCCATCGCCCGACTGGTCCTCACCCGGAGGTACGCAGACCTTTGGCCTGCCGACCGCAAGTCAAGGACACGAGCCCATCCGCTTCACAAAAGGAAGAGTGATCAGTTCTTCCCTAGCGGACGACGTTTCATCCTTCTACCTGGTCCGACCTTTCTTCTCTTACGTGGCGAGCACCAATACCAAGGTTCCTCCTCACGTCTGCCAGGTAGGTCCAATCCAAGCCTGCCAGGGCCTCGCCAAGCCGTAAGAGTGTTCCTCGCGAATCGTTCCTCCCGAGTGGTGATTTTCTGGATTTCGGTCTCTTCCTTTCAAGAGAGTTGGGGCTCTCGATCAGTCCGCGAGTGCAGTTACGAAGACCTCGCAATTAGTCCCGAAACGGTTGTAATGTTCCGGCAGGGCAGTGTCAATGCCTCGTGGTGGTGGCGGACTCCACCCGGTACCTCGCCGGCCTCTCCCCTTGGACAGTGCCGCCCAACTTAGCGCGGGCAGCCGTGGTCCGACCCAAACGACCATGCCACCCCTCTATGACATAGCGTGTGGTTGGAGAGTAGCAAAATAGACTAGATGAGAATGACTTTCCTGCCCATTTGGCTCTCTCGCCCTTTGACGTTTAGGCGTTCAACAGGAGGCGTAGTTGGAACTCCCCGACTAGAGCTCATTGTCGGAGGTGGTTCCGGACGTCCCGCACCGATCAAAGTGGTGGGTGCCTTAGTCCTTTAACCCTCATCCTCTTACAAGAGGAACAGGTCGCGCTGAGACTTTTTCCCTCAAGGAGATAGAGGTCTTTGGGGTCGCGGTGCATGCGCCGGTATCCCCCTCTTGTTGAGGCCAAAGACTAGAAGAAAAGAGAAATTTCATTTCAAGGCTCTTTCCAAGTCCATTTCCAGTTGCCTAGGGTCCCCTGTTTATGCAATGCCTTTTCCAATGCTCAATTCAATTTCGATGCTCAGTCTCATTCCCAGGCTCAATCTCAGTCCAGTGCTCATTCTCAGTCCAATGCTCAATGCAATATCCCTTCCACGACTGAGTCCAATATCTCTTTCAATGTCTTTTCCAAGGCTCAACTCTTCCAATCTCTTTTCCAAAGTTCCGCTCTTCCAGTTCCATGCATCACAAGCAGCCATGCAAGGGGACCCCAGTGCCAATTCCAAAGAATGACCCTTGTCAGGGGCCATTCCGAACAACTTGGTTAGGGTCGTTCTTTCCAGTTCCAAGTCGAACAGCCTGGTTAGGTCAGTCTTATCCATTGCAATCGGACAGTCTGGTTAGGACCATCCTTATCCATTTCAATTAGGCAGCCTGATTAGGGTCATCCTTGTCCATTGCAATGTTAGCACCCGAGGGGGTGGGCCTCGAGGACACGCATCCTATCACGTCTCGGGGGTTAGAGGGCGGCCATCGTCTTAGGTTTTTACGCATGCTTCTTCCTTTTCCTCATATCTTTTGTCATTCTTACATCCATCCATACATCCGACTTAGCGTCTAGTACTCGAGTTAAAGATCGCATCCCCAAGCAGCACTAGCCCAGCCGGTCGTTCAACCATTACGCGGGGTGCTGACTTCTCTCCATGTTTTCTCTTTCTCTGGACTCACATGCGTTTGCTGTCCTGGGACGACATGGAACCGGTTGGATTAGGCTCCTAGGGAAGAGGGTCCTTCATGCCTTTTTACCCATAGGTCCCCTAACCTCTCACAAGGACTTGTGCAAAGACTCATTCAATTCATGGATACATAACTCAAAGGAAAGACTTTCGTCACGAAGGTTTCTTCCAACATTCAAGAGCTCACATGCCGCTGCCCATAAAGTCAGCCAACCCCCAATCCCTTTCTTACTACCCAAAAAACTCATATTTCCCAAATGGAGCGAGTACTTATACAAAGTAGTCCTGATCACTCACCCTCTACTAGCTTCCTCAATCCAAAAAGTAGTTTCATTGCAGTCCTTACAAGGAAAAATAAGGAGACAGAGTTCGAATGCAAAGACAACATTACAGACTCGTCTTCGTCTAGATCCCCGCTGTTTCCCCTTTTTCTTTCCCTTAATCTACCCAGCCATCCAGAATTTTATTCTAAGTGCAAAAAAATTCTCGTGCCCATTCTCGAAGAAGCAACGACTTATATGAAGTAGCATTCGTTACCCAGTCCTTAGCCGCTTCGAGCTTAGCAGCTGTCTCATCACAGTTCATTCGGAAAGAAGTTCAAATGCGCAAAAAGGAAAGATGGCCGTTCTTGCTGCCCGGTTACCAACCCTTCCCCGATTCCCAGCTATTCCCATCATGCCTGGTGTCCCTTTTTACTGTCCCGGTGCCCGGCGCCGAGCCTCCCTCCTTACACGGTCCTCCATCTCTTGCTCCATTAGCCTCTTTATCGTCTGTAGATAGCGAAGCGTTTCTTCTGAAAAGAAGGTTGTTGGGGATATGTCTTCTCCCCTGCTCAACTTTTCCTGGTCCTTCATTGCCCACTGATAACGTAAAATACTGGCCCATTGATCGAACCAATCGCTGAAAGTTGGCCCGAATTTTTTTTTCCATGGGTCCTTTTCTTCCCCTGGGTCCTCTTCTCTTCCCCGATCTTCCCGTGTGGGCGTTGTTACCTCATCTTCCTCCTCGTCGCTGGTGAGGTCAATGAACTCAATGGGCTCATTCTCTCCCGACCGTTGTCCTTCCTCTGGGTTCCCCTCTTCCTTACTACTAGGATCACTGTCTGAAGGCAGCTCTATTGGCTCCCCTTCCTTTAGTGGTGATGGTCCTCTGGTTCCTTGCTTTCTGCCCCCCCTGTTCACAACTAGGTTGTGATCGAACCCCACATACAACTTCCTTTTCCTGGAGCTTGACTCTTCAGCTTGCCTAGACGACTGTCCCTCTTCCGGCCTATTGATGGCGTTGCTGTCATTTTCATTTCCGTACTCCATCTTGCTGTTTTCTTGCTGTTTTCTCCTCGCCTGGCCCTGTTCATGCATAACAGTCACGGTACCCCTCATACACACGCATTCCCTTTCACTCCCATTTGCGGCTTTTGGAGGCTTCCCTAGAACTTTTGTTTGCCCCTATATAGTTGCTAGCCCCATTATCCCTTAAAACCCTCGACACATTGTCCCAACACATAGGTGCCCCATGTAGGCAGTCCACAGCATCACCCCCCCCCAAAAACTATGGTACATTGTTCCAGCCCATAGGTACCTCGGGTTGACAGTCCCTAGCGTTACCCCGCAAAAACTATAATACACTGTCCCGTGCTCCCAGGCCCAGTCACAGTCAGCCCAGGCAGTCTCCCCACGTTCCACAAAAGTCAAGACACACAAACGAGCAATCCCTGTGGTCATGATCACTTCCACAGGGAGGCGGTCCATAACTTATAGCCAGTTGCCTGCCTTTCAGGCTGTCAGTTCCCCAATTTCCCTGTCCTGGACCTCTTGTAGCCACTGTTCCACCGGATCCCTGCTCAAAAATCTGACCAATCTGTCCCGGAAATGGCCGTTTTATGCTAGTACCATCGAGATCCTCAAGTTCAAATGTGTTCAGTCCCACCCGCTTAGCGATCCTGTAAGGCCCTTTGAATCTTTTTCCCAGCTGCCCGGACCATGTGCTCTCAAGAGCCGAGTTCCTAACTAGCACCTTTTCCCCCACCTGGAGTGGCCCCTTCCGAATGTTCTTAACCTGGTCCCATCTTGCTTTATTCCTCATTCGGCTGTCCGTCACACAATTGACTACTTCCTCGAGTGCCTCCTCATTCCTGGCGACCTGCTGACAACGTGCGGTGATTAGCTCTTTCGTGCTCAAGTGTGGGTCGTCATCTAGTCTGTTCCAGGTAGGGACCAAGGCTTCTATCGAAAAGTCGATCTCCCTTCCATACCAGAGTTCTGCTGGAATACATCCCGTTGTTCTTTTTGGAGTCATGTTCTCGGCGAAGACTGCCTGCTTGAGAAACTGTGGCCAACTTCCCAAATTATATGTTGCGAACTTTGCGATTGTGTTCTTCAAAGTCCGGTGACCCCTTTCTACTGGTGCATTTGCCTCAGGATGGTAGGGCTTGGTGATCTTGATTGGTACACACAGTGTCTTAAGCCTGTTCAACACTTCCTGGTTAACGAATTTTGTCCCATTGTCTGCTATAAACCTGCGCACGAAGGGGTGCCTTAAGTAGAAATCTTCCACCCAGTCGGCTACTGCTTTCCCCGTTTTCTTCTTGAGGGCTACGTCTTCTACATAGCCCCTGAGATTATCCCTTGCATCCAAGATGTATTTAAGCCCATCCGTTGATACGGGCATAACGGCAAGGTCGAGGTGAACAAGGTGTCCGGGTCCCAGTACCCGGGTGGGTCTAAGGGGCTCGTAAACTCATACAGTGATCCTTTCTTGACATATTAGACACGTTTGACAATACGTTGCGACCATGCCTGCCATCCCTGGCCAAAAGTACAGGGGCACAATCTTCGCAAGTGTTCCTTTAGACGACCGATGACCTCCAGCTAACCCATCATGCATTGCCTGAATTATGTCCAGCTGCCTAGACCTCCCACAAATGACGCATCTAGGTGTCATCCCTTCCTCTTTTTTGAACAGATCGCCATTTCTTAGGACATACTTTTCTACTTCCTCCCTTGCCTTAGGACTGACTTTCGTGGGTTGTTTGTTCCTTACAAGCAGCAGACCGATTTCTTTGAAGACGCCCTCGTACATCTGTATGAGGAAGAACTCTTGTTCCTTCTGATCCGTACCCTGCTCCTCCTCAGTGAGGTTGACTCGGTACTGACAGTCCTTCAGCGCCCAGGCTTCGGCCAACGTCATCACGGCGTCCCGTCCCCCTTCGACGGTCATTGCCATCAGTTCCTCTCTGGCTCCTACTTCTGCTCCGCACGAGTCTTTTTCCTCTCTGCGCCTGACCGTGGTGACTGGTCCTTCCCTGAGTTCTGCGACCACTGCAGGTGCGCCATTTTCCAAGGTCTGAATCAGCAACTGACCTGTTGTAGTTGCTGGATCTGCCATCTCATGACCCACAACAAGGGTCCCTCCTTCGTATTCCAGGAAGGCGTCAATTGGTTTCGCGTCCTCTACTCCTTCAGGCGTGATACATACCCTGCTCAACCCATCTGCTCTATTTCGAAGCCCTGCAATTCGCTCGACCTTATAGTCGAATTGCCATATGAAGCCTATCCATCTGCCAACGGTTGGATCTATAGGTTTTTAGTTCTTTAGGGCCCCGACAACGTTGGTGGGATCGATCCTTAGGATAAATCGCCTTCCGAACAGGTATGCCTGAAAGGTCTTAAGGCAATGCAGAATCGCTAAGACCTCCTTCTTGAACTGTGAGTACCGCCGTTCTGTCGAATTCAGGGTCCTACTTTCACATCTGATTGGCCTTTCTCGCTTCCATGTATCAATACTCCTCCAACTGTCAGCGGTCCCCCATCTGTTTCTAAGATGAAAGGCCGTCCTACCTCGTCATTGAAACAGGGTGCTGTTAGAGTGACCTGATCGGATGACAGGATGTCTTTCAGGGTCTGGGCTACCGCTTCCCTATCCTCGGTCCAATCCATAGTGCCGGCTTCCCTAATCATTGCGCGGATAGGCTCTGCTATCTTTGCGAATCCTTTGATGAAGATCCACCAGAACCCGACCACCCCTAGGAAGGCTCGTACTTCCGTCGTGGTGCGTAGGGGTGTCGGCCACTGGGAGATCTTATCTGTCTTTGCTGGGTCGGGTCTCCTCCCATAAGCTCCGCAACGAAATCCCAGTATGGTTACTTCCGGAACGGCCAGGATGCTCTTGGGTCCGCTTGCAGTAATATTGTAAATGAGGAATCGCTGGAGTAGGTCCTCAATATCCTGCAGGTGGTCCCAGACAAACTTTCGTACGCCCGGCTTGACCTCCGTCTCGTCCTTGTACCTTGCGTCTTTTACGGGATTATCATCTATATACGGTTCACACTTTTCCGGAAATATATCCCCTGTGACGGCGAGCATCCTTCTCGGCGCCTCTGCTACCGCATTTGTAAAATCCATAAGGGTCACTTGCATCTGCAGCTGCCCTACAGGGGTGTGCATTGCGGTGTACGGTCTATCCCTCGCATCGAGCGGCAACTGATCATATCCTGAGTACAAGTCTACCAGGGAGTAAATACTCCGCCCCGCATGAGATTCTGCCAACATATCGGTCTGTGGCAGCGAGCCTGCATCCCTAATTGTTACCGCATTGAGCTTTTGCAAGTCCTGGATCCACCTGAGCGTCTTATTGGACTTCCTGAACACGAACCACTTGTTCGCGTAGGGGGATGCGGTGGGTTCAGCCACGAAAGAATCTATCTTAGCTCTAAGTAAATCGGTGGTCTCCGCTGCTATCCCAAACTTGTCGGCGGACCCTTTATCATTCCAACACTCGTGCTGTACGGTGTGGATCCTGACAGGGGGAACTAGCTTTGCGTCCAATCGCCCTTTCTGATGATCGTTGAAAGCGAAAGCTAAATGAAACTCCTGGCACGCCTTTCTTATCATCTGAGTTTTTTCCGCTGTTAAAAACCCTTCCACTCCTATTTTCATTGTATCTACTACCTCGTCTGGTATGCAATGCTCTTCCATTGCGCGTCTCTCCCTTATAACCCGTAGGATCTCCTTCCATGGCCTCTTCCTTTGACGTTTCTACTAGGATTGAGACCGGCTTGTTTTTTTTTCCTACGGGTTTGTATTTTCGCACACTGCCTTCTGGGATCGTTCTCCTAAAAAATGAACGGTCGGGATTGACCTTGTTATTTCCATGATACGGGGCTGAATGCTATCTTCCCATTCAGGCAGTAGCCATTTCGAACCTCATCCTCAAACTTGGTAAGCGCTGCCGGGTCCACCCCCACTTTGTGGTACCTGATTGTCTTAACAAGTTGCAACAAGTCTGGGATTTCGAGCGCTAGCTCGGGGGTCTCGTTACGGCCCTCCTTTGGCTTGGGCAAGCTGGCCCCAAGTTCAACTTCCTGCTCCTTTTCCGCCACCATAACCCCAGGGATTCGTCCTCAGGCCTTCTTTTCTTTACGGGCAGACCCATCTTGATCCATTCCTTTTTACTAAAAGCCTCCTCGATCATAATTTCTACCCTTTCCCTCATGCCTTCCATTCGTGCGAATGCCCCCTTCCGCGCACTTTCTTTGAATGTTGGAGACCAGGTTGCCAATTTGCCCTTCGGAGGGTCCTCTCCGGTCCCAAGAAGTCGGAGGAGTTTCCCGCGGTCGGTCACTGGGTCCTCTATGTCTACCATGTATGTGCCTTCGTGCAGATGCATTCCTATCATTTCCACATTGGCGCACCACGGTCTCCCGAGGATTATGTCGTGATTCATTTCTTCCATCACGGTCATCCGCTGAAAGGACCAGATGGATTCCCGGATTCCCGCCCTGACTGCACATTTGGTGACATACCCTGTGAAAGGAATTTCGCCACCGGCTCCCCGGATACTCCCTGCTACTTCCTTGTTTACCGTGCACCCCGTGACCGTTGCGAAATCTCGTCGTATAAGGGTGATTTCTGCTCCGTCGTCCACTAACGCGTCAGTGTGGTGAGTTCCGATTTGAACTTTAAGTTTCCCGACTGGTAATGCATGAAAGCTAAGCTTTGTCCTGGGTGGCGCCCTCATGACTTTGCCACCTTCACGATCCGGTAGGCTTAGGCGGATGTCCGCAAAGGCTTTCTCCAAATCTCTCAGGCCCCCTGGGATGCTTTGGAGGTTCTCGGCCTTTTCCGTGTCCTGCTCTTGCAGTTCCGGGGCCTCCTCTACCTCTACGCGCTTACGCATTAGCAACTGCCTGAGTCCTTTAAGCAGCCTCGGGCTTGCTTGCAGCATGGTCTGAAAGGACACCGATACCATGGTACCCAGTAGCTTACTTAAGGTGCCATCGATTTCTGGCGAAGTCGGGATCGGAATTTGATACCTGAACTTCTTCTTTGCCGCCGTAGCCTTGTCTACCGGTTCGTCCTCCCTTGGCTTCCCATAGACCTTCTCTTGTTCCCCGGCTTCGGTCTCTTGCTGGCCCGTGCTAGTCCCTGCGAGTTCTTCCATTATTGTATCTTGAATAAGCTTCTTTTCTGCGTCGGCCCGGCGAGTGGTAATATTTACCCTATCCTGGCCATTGCCTTCTAGGATAAAATTGGTCTGTGGTCCCCGTCCCCTTGGCTGGTCCCAGACAATCTCGACTATCGGCTCTGCTTCTACGGCAGCTATCTCTAAGTTATTCAGGAGGATGACGGCTCGCCGCATCCCTCCTGACGAGTTCCAATTGACACGCTCCCCCCTGGGTCCGAGGATCTCGCCTTTGAGGGACCTACCGCACCTCTACCGCTCGATATCGTGATTGGGTCTCGGACAGGCCTGTATGAAATGCCCGATCATGGTACAATACTTGCATTGTTCCTTGGCCGGGTCCCTCCTGCCAAACCCCCGGTTTGCTACAGCTGCCGGAACGACGGCCTCTTAGGGCGGGAGGGCGGGTCTGGAGACTTGCACCTGCATTACTAACATCGCATTTTCCATTCTGTCCATCTTGCTGTCAACCCCGTGCACCCGTTCGTGTAGGCTCTCTATCCCCTTCTTGACCTTATACCCTGTCTTCCCGGTCAAATTTATGACCTCCCCTTCCTTAAGCAGGGCTAGCGCCTCGGTGACGACTATCTTTTCCACAAGGTCTGTTACGGTGTTGAAGTCCACATCTCTCGTGTATTCGAACTTACTGGTCTGCTGGTATGCTGACAAAATCTTATCTCTATCAAACTCGGAAAACTGCCTGAGGAAGTATTTACTCATTATGCGGTCCGTTACCCCGGGAATTCGCAGAGCCACTAATGTGAACGCCCTTAGGAAATCGTTGTAAGTTGCATAGTTTTTCCTCTGGACTGCAGCTAATTCGGCCTCTGTTGCCATTTTTTCTGCCTTCAGGTATTTCCTCATCATCTCATTCCTGGTTTCTTTCCAGGATCCACTGGAGGCGACGATGGCCATAATGTCCCTTCCCAAGCTTAGCGACATGTGCTGCCCTAGGTGCTCCATCTTTTCCTCTTCCGTCCATTTCAGTAAGGCTGCTAGGTTCTCATAGTCTATTAAAAACTCCATAATGTTGGCCCCATCGAACGTGAGTTTCTTCTTTGCATCCGCGAGATACCTTTGGTTCTTGTTTAGTGTCCTGGTGAGGGTGGCGACTACCCTCTTGAGACCATCTTCGGAGCCACCCGCTTCTCCGGCCGCACTGGTCCCTTCCCCTTCCTTGCTTTCCCTCTGCTTCTCCCTGGTTTTCGGCGTTCCCTCTGGGTCGAACCATCCTAGCACTCTTTCCCTAAGGTTCCAGAGTCCGTCACACGCCCCTGTTAATTTCGGCGTGACAGGCAGTCTGCTAGTGCCGCTGTCGATGGCGGGTGGGGTCATAGCGTTTTCCGTCTCCTCCGTCGGGGGGTCGTTCTTGTCCTTCCCCTTCTTACTAGGTGTTCCTTTGTGGCTATTATCCTTCCCCTCATACCTAGCCCCGTCCTCACCGGTCCTGCGTCCCTCACGTGGCCCTGCGCCCTGGGGGTCCTCTTCATCCTCGGCCATCATCTGCTCGATAAGCCTTGCCTTAAATTCTGAAGTCTGCTTTTCTATCTCTGCCAATTTATGACTGGCATCCGAGACTTTTGTCTTTTAAGGGGTGGCTCCTGTTGAGTTCCGAGGGCTTGTTCTCATATCGTTTCCCCCTTCCCTATTTTCCTGAGGTCCCCTTTTGCTACCCCCAACTTTCCCCGAGCTTTTTCCAATTGAGGCATCCTTTCCGTCTTCTCGGGTTCCTTCCAGTTTGGCCGACTCTCGATCCCTGGTTGATCCCTCGTTTCGTTCCCCATCCCCATTCGTGCCCTGATTCCCTCCGCTCTGCTGGTCATCGATTCCTTCCTCAGTCGCCATTTCTTTACCTAGCCTGCACATGGAAAAAAAAATTTGCGAAAAAGTGGCCGGTTGTTCATAACTGCCCATGTTTTTTGTGTCTTATATTAATCGGTCCGATTCTCCTGACTTTTCTTTCCTAGGGCGTCCTTCAGGTTTTTCTCCCGTTGGGGGAACTTGCCGCCGCTGCCTGGCATTTTTTTCACTGCCGCGCTTTGGCTCTTAGGGCGATGTTTTAGCCCAGTGGCCTCCTTATCGAGGATGGCCCTTTTGGCTTTTCGACCTCCAAATGCCCCAAAATTTTTGGAGCGGGTGGTCTTCCTAGTTCCTCCCTGCCGCATCATTGAGTCGGCCGGAACTCCAACCACTGTCCCTCTTTTGCTGATAGCTGCCTGCTTATCCTAGTATCCATCCTTCATTTCCCTACCTCTTCCCGACGTGTTTTCTCATGCTGGTCCATCAGGCCTGCCCTGCTCATCCGGTTCCTCGAACAGGTCAGCCAACCCAACAAGGTAATTTTTCCCCATCTCTATTTCCCCGATAATTATTGGCTCATATTCTTCAAACGACAGGTGGGGCAATCCGAATATCAAGATTTCGAGTAATTCGAGTAGTTCCCAGGCCTGATTCCCCCAGAACGGCCCATGTCTGACCGACACATCGTAGAACATGCTCGTTGTTTGTGGCCGGAAGAGGTGGATCCAGACCAGGGTCGAGTCCACCAGGTCCCTAGCTCTCTTGAGGCTACTGAATACCAAGTCCACCATGAAACGAGGTACTCGACACCTCAACCCGGTCGTTGGGACCTTAAACTCTCGCTACCCTCCAACCTCCACCCGAGTTCTTAATCCCACGTTCCTTCTCCCCCGCACTTCCTGGCCCACCTTGTTCAACATCCTAGTAGCCCTCTGGAAGATTGGTAGCAACCCGTGACCTAGTGCCAATTCCGTTCCTAGCATGTACCATCCAAGCTCCGGCAGGTATACGGTCCCCGTCACCCTAAGATCGGTATACAGATCGTCTCCCGGTCCCCTGTTAATCTTCATACCATCCCACAAACATTCCATCATCATGAACGCCTGACCTCTTCCCAGGGTCACGACACTCCATTCGATGTCCAGTCCTTGGATCATGTAGCTTGCTGGGAGCGATACCTCCCATCCGTCTCCACTTTCCGTGGGTGGCCGCGGGTGTGTGGACCGTCGCAACATCCGAGCGCGTCTCATCGCCATTTTTGACTTAGTAGTCCCCTGCACAGTTTAAACTGCAGCGGTTTTACTTATTTCATTTAATCTTCAACTCCTGCCCGAACACTCCCCGGTTTCTAGTTTGAACCTTCTTTTTCTTTCCTTAACCTCGTTTATTGGTCCGTCCCTACGTCCATCGGCTCATACAATCGGTACAGATCATCCACGTACACCATCCCTTGACTTATTTCCCTTCGGATGACACCCCACAGGACCTCATCTCCTACGACCGGAGCCCTCGGCCTGGTGCTAAACACATCACGCAGGATGCGCAACACCTCGTACTTCTGCTCTCCACTGAACGGGCCCATTTCTAGGAAGGCCCGATAGTATTCTCGATGTACCATCGCATCTTCATATGTCAGGCTTACGAGGTCGGCAACTGCTTGTCTAATAAGTCCCAGACCGCCCAGCCTTTCCAGCAGGAAGGGCGGCAGCCTCATTCGTGCATTTTCACTAGGCAATTCGAAACTCCCGACCATGGCTACCCTAAGATCCGTTGTTACATCGTCAACCCCCGGATCTGCGAACTCAAACCCCGCTTGCCATACTAACTGCCATGCCCCTTCAAACATGCTCAACGGGTCTTCTCCTGATGCCAGCCAAACTCCGAACTCCCTCCACCCATCCTCTGACACATACAGTCGTCCTTCTGCATGCACATGCCCCCGTGGGTCCGGGTTCCATTCCCCATTCTCATCCGCACGCCACTCAACTTTCGTCACCAAGTAGATCATATTTTCCGCAAGCTCGACCCCGACCCAATCTGCCACTTGGTGCCAGCCTTCACTTGCCGTCGGCAAGCTAACCTCTACCCCACCCAGTACTTCCCTAGGCGGCTCAATGCCCAAGGGGCGTTCCTTGAGGAATGTCCTTCTTTGCGCCATCACGCACTCGCCTTTGCTCTCCTGGCTCGCAATCGGCACTGAACCCTACAATGGCCAGACATCCCATTCCCTTGTCTTAGCAATTTTCCCCTTATTTGCCTGGCCCCACGGCTTTCCTGCTTTTAGTCGAACCACAGTACCTTGAACAGTTTGAACACATCATTCACATAGCAAGGTGTTGCTGCTACCTCACGGCGGATTATGGCCTCCCTAGTTTCCGGGGCCACCTCCTGTCGGTCATTCCTTTCGATATCCAAAATGATAAGGACTTCCTGTACTCTATTGCCATGGAAGGGCCCGTATTTCAAGGGCGTCCTATAGAATTCCCTTGCCAGCCATGCGCAGTTTATGTGTATTCGCTCCATTGTGTTGGCTACCTCTGTTACGTGATCAAAACCCCCAAACCATTCCGCCACGAACTCGGGCACCCAGGTCTAGATCCGGGCGCCAGGCGGTTTAAATTTATTCCATCCTCCCATCACGACTCTACTGCTGACCGTATCCCAACCTTTGTTAGCAAACCTTTCCCCCGCCTGTCGAACCCTTGTCTCAGCGTCCCCTAAAAGCCACATTGGGTTCTGTCCTGCAGCGAGCGTTGTGCAAAACAGGTGCCAACCTTGTTCAGAGAGAACGATCGTCCCGACCGACTACACCCTTCCTTCCGCAATCTCTTCCCATCCTTCCTCTTCCCTGAACAGGTTCCAGACACGCTCTATCCATAGGTACGGTAGCTCCGACACAATCTCACACCCCCGCCAATCACATGTGGTCCCCTTCCATTTATTGCTTGGCGGTATTGACATCTCTACTCCCCTTCTGACTCGTCTTGGTTCCCACGTGCAGCCCCATAATTCGAGTTTCCGGGCCATCGCTCCTTACCTGCACATAGTCGACAACCCGTTTCCCCCGAGTAAGCCCCCCCCTTCAGAAGTCCCAGTCCTCTATTTCGTCCCCGTCCTCCTCATCACTGAAACCCTCCTCCTCGCCTAAGAACATTTCTCTCACCCCTTCCAAAAAGGTTTCCCCCGCTGCCACATTTCGGTAAACTATCTGCCAATAGACCCGACTAGGAACAAAGACTTCGTCCGCGCTGAGGAGGTTTAACACCTCAGCTAATTCTTCCGCCCAGTTTTCTTCAAACGGCCCTGCTTCCACCGACAGTTTAAAGAAGTCTTGTCTAGCACATTGGTACAGCCTCATGCGTGTCATTGATTGGCATATACGTTCCAGTCTATCCCTGGTCCCAAGGACTGCATCCACCAGAAACGGGGGTAGCACGCACCTCATTGTCCTAAGAGGACGTCTCATATTTTTCCGGTCCCCGAGTTCCACTCGCACCTCCATCCTTTCCATCTCCATTTCTGCCCGCTGACATGCTGCCCATACCACTTCCCGTTCCGCTTGCCTAAACAGCTGATCCGATGCCGTGCCCAATACTAGCCCCACTACCATTGCATTTTCCAATTCCTGTGATAGGTAGACCCATCGTCGAGCTTCCACTGTTCCCCGGAATTCTAGGCCCATCAAGCTAGGTGAAAGTCTCATCAGGCTGACCTTAGTCCAGATTGTCTTTATCCAGAGGAACGCGTCCTTCTCGTCCAGCATCACGGTTTCATAAGCCGGTTCTAGGTTGGTCCATTTCCCTTCTTCCGGGAGAACAACAAATACCCCATCCCTTACCTCTATAGGGATTTCCGGACCACTAGAGTAGACAGGAGGCGACAACCATCGCGCCATCTTGTTTCCCGACGCTTGTCCTGTTTTCCACATGAGAGCACCACACGGTCCCTCATGGTCAGATGGTTTGCTTTTCCTTTTCTACATGAGAGTTGTTTTCAGACCCCTCATCCGGGTCTCCCTAACTTTTCTTATTCATTTCCCAGGTGCCATTGCCCTCCCATACCCCCAATCGATCACCAGCCGCTGGCATTCCTTTTTCTTGGTTCCACTTCCTTCCGACTCCTATCCAGCTTTTTCCTCATGTTCTCTCACTCGTGCAGACTTAGGCAGGGGTTAAGAATAGACTAGAAATTCGATCCCCATCCAACACTCATCAGCCAACTTTACAGAGGGAGGCACACAAAACAGAACTCAGGCAATCGTCACACACAGGTCGGTCATCTCCTCACCGACCTCTTCCCCGAAAATGGTCTCTCCACTGTTACTATCGGCAGGGCTTTACCCCATACCTCAAGCGCAGCTCAACCGTCGCAAACGCGGTACCCAGGTCTCAGCAAGGCATTCGCCTTTTCCTCCTTACCCAGAATACCCCATCCTGACTTGCCTCTCGTGTACCCACCGTTAATCTCGGGAATCACCCTACACATCTCGGTGAGGCCATTGGAGTCGGTCGTCCAGGCATTCACTTCCATATGTCCGATAAGGAACAGCCTTTCCCAACCCAGGCTACGAGAAGCTACTGACCGCCTCCCAAGCTCCGTCTTTGCCCCCATGCAGTGGTGCTCCCTCCGCCAGTCCACAGGCTAGGCCTCGCCTGAGGAACGTTTCACACCCCGCCCGACGGATCAATCGAGACGAAGCCCGTCACCGCGCGGGCGAGAATGCTAATAAGCACTCGACGCGACAAACTCCCGTTAGACAGCTCGGTGGCCTGACCCCGCATACGAACAAACGGCAGCCTGCAAAGAGAACGGTGTTTGACAACCCGCAGTGGCCTGTGCAGACCCTCCCTTTCCTTCCAAATGGCAGGACGCTCGAAATCCCAATCATGCAGTCACAAGTCCCAAGTGGGACACACATAACACAAGTGCCTTTCCCCTAGTGCACCCAACGCTTCCTACCCATAGCTCACAAATTTTCTCTCAGGACAGTGCGTGCCACTCTCCCCTAACATCCATACACAGTGCCCGGTTCCTTCTCGTGAGCATCTTCAAGGGTGAGCTAGTTTTCCTTGGAGTCTAGCAACTCCCTTCATTCCCTTATCTTTGCTTGTGTGTCCGTTCATAGGGCGGGATTGTTCCTTCTCGATTACCCTTTTGTGTTCATATGAAGTTCCTTCAAGCATTAAGTGTGGTGCATGGAGCCCGTTGGGCTCCGAAGAAAAAGGAAAGAGCGCACCCATGTCAGTCGGATCACTCCGCCGCGGGATTTTCATCGGGACCCGGACTAGCCCGGAATCCCAATCGCCTGCCAGGTAACCGGAGACCTTCTTTCGCACGAAGAGGACAGGTCGACCTGCAGCTTGCCCAAGGCTTCCCCGGTCTGACGAACATCAGTCCAAGGGAAGGAGGACTAGAGTCATCTCCAAGGGAGATGGCTGATCAAAAGTGCAAGCATGCATGTTCTTCCTCCAGGCCTGGCCTTGCCATGCCCCCAGCCACCCTCAAATCTGATTCACTCAAAGGGATAGAGCATACACAAATCCATATTCCTCATCTTCATGTTTATGTTCACGGTCATGCGTCGGGCGCCCCCCCCTATGGGTCAGTTTAACCTAATACCCGGCACCTCCACCATTTTTTGTAGGGGCCGTACCCTGAAGGACTTTCGAGCCTCGGTCGACCCCACTGCGGGTCCCATTTGGCTCGACCCGCCCACGCTCACGCTCAAGGCGCGGGTCGTTCGTCCCAGGGGCACCCCCACCTAGTGCCACAAGATGGATGGGGATGGACCACTTGCGAGAGGGCTTTACATTGGGGGATGTAGCTCCGTTCTCGCGTCAAGATGGTAGCTCTTTGGGCATTCGTGGCGTTTTCTTGATTCACTTAGGTCAGACCAGACAATTACTCCTTCCAATACGCAGGCAGTCCAGGGGGGTTCATTGAGGTCTCATCTTCTTATCGTGCGCAGGCCAAGCGTCATCCATTGGGCCACGCACCTTTTCACTAAGCCAAGCGGCTCTGGGCAGCCCCGACGGCATCGTTGGGGTAAGCCGGCGTCGCCCGGACCCCTAGCCGCTATATTTTTTTTGCGAGAGCCACGAGCATCGCATCACCTATCCAAGACCGCCCTTAGTCTTTTCAGGGGTCTCATTGCACGTGAGAGAGACATTCCATGCAACCTCCAGACAAACCAAGTCCATGCATCAACCATCCGCCCAAGCGCCCGGCCTCAACTCATCCCGCATCCATGACTTAAGTTGGATCCAAGTCCTCCCTTAGCCAATCTCCCACCCTAGTCCTCATCCGCGGGTCTAGCCCCGTCCAAATCGTCCCTAGCTACTCACCTGCGCAAGACCACACAAGACAAATGACCAATTACAATCCCCATTGGGGTCAACACATCGCCCCTTCCCACAATCCTAAGTTGCCTTTGCCCTCCCATTCCCCTTATGAGTTCCCTTCCCTTTCCCACAGGCAAGCCATGCAATCTCCTCAGTCATGCGTTCCGGGAGGGTGGTTGAGTCAAACTAACCTCGTCGAAAATCAGCACTTCTTTTCGCTTTCGCAAATGTACTCAATAGTCCCGTATCCTTTCCTTCTTGGTGGCACAAGGGACCGGCAGCCCTTCCCTTGCCCTCGCTTTCCACCAAGTGAGGACTAAGTTCCTTTTCGTTCGTTCCCTGGCAATGTAACAGGTGAGGGTAGAGGTTAGTCACATGCCATGGAGGGGAAGGGGAGAGGGAAGAGGTGAGGATTAAAGAGTTTGAAGGAGAGAGAGAGAGAGAGAGAGAGAGAG